ATGAAGGATGACCAGTAGCGGCGCCAGTTATACCTATAAGTTTGTGAAAACTATAGCGTTTTAAAAACTAAATAAAACGCTTTCCGATAAAAATAAAAAAAAATTGCAAGAAAGACGACTGTTTGCTTAGAAACAAATTATTTTTGAAAACATTTGATATATAACAAATTACTATTGGAATTATTTAATATGTTTTTATTAATAAAAGAACAATACCACGTATCTTAATAACTATTAATATAAAATGAAAATTTACAAAATAAAAACACTATAATTCTCTTCTTTTTCAAATACATTAAATTAATTAGAATTCCATCACGTTACAACAACCAGGACAGATTAAATACATCTTATCTGGACATGGATTGACCACTGACCACTTTTTATGATACTTTTTTTGTATTCTCATATCTGACCGGTTAATGAAAATGTCTTCTTTCTGAACCATCTAGGTTTGTTTTCGAATTTAAGTAAACCATCATCTCAATTTTTACAAGGAACGTTTCGTTTAAGTGGAATCGCATATTGTGGATTTTGTTTCTTGTAAAAGAAGGGCCCCTAACATCTGTGATAAGGTCGACCTCTCCATGCTTCGCTAAAATCACATACCAATAGTGTTATTTTATTTTAAGCCTTTATTTATCATTTACTGTAATTATCTAATGAATAATTATGTATCTAATAACTTAGTGGGTCTTTTGTTGAACTGAAATATTACCTACAACACTTACGTTAGTGACATGCATTGTAATCTCAATTTATATAGCGGCGATTCGCTTGCTGACATAAATATACGTTCCGAATCAGATTTTTATGGTCACAGTACTTCTCGTGAATACTTTTTTAGCAAAATACTTTATTACGTTGTGTTAACATAACAGGTAGGTTAAATAGAACAAATAGAAGAAAAAATTAATTTCTTAGTACAGACTAACGATCAAAAGTCTAAATCCCCGGTATTACAATATTAAAGAACTAAATCCTATTATTTATTAATGAAAACAAATTAAATCTTTAAACTCAACACTAAGGGTCTATTTATACTCCCTTAGTATTAGTATTTGTATTAGTATTATGATTAAGCATTAAATTTGTTAAATCATTCAAAAAAGGTATTTATACTCGTTTTATAATTAGTATTAGTAATTCTTTTTTAAACCTAATACCTAATAAGATATAATTCTGCAGTCAACAAAATATATGGTTACTGAAGAAATATGTAAGAGGCCAGAGTTGCGTTCTTTTAAGATATTTGAGTTTTAAATGTGTTTTTATTAATATTTTTACTAGTTAATTTTATTTAAAAATATTATTATTCAAAAATAGGTTTAATTAAGGACATTTTAACGGATTTCAGTCTCAAATTTATAACAGATAAAAAGAAGCAGAAATTTGATACAAATCAGACAGAAAAGAGGCCTTTGCTTCCTCGTGGTGACATGTCATTTGTCAACTTTATAATCGGTAAACACTGCTGATACACAAAAATTGTATACAACGCATGATTTGTACCAAAATATTATCGTTTTCGAGCTTGTTGGAACAAACATATAAACAACATAATCATATGTGTATTGTCAATTATCCCTATCCTTTGTCTATTAAAAACAAAGGCCAAATACGTTATTGATTCATTTTATAGAAAAGAAGAAATTTAATATTTAATTTAAAAGTTGAACCTGTCAATTATTAAGCATAAATATTAATGCTAATACTAATCATAAATCGAGTATAAATGTCCCCATTACATTGTGAAGGTTCAACTTAATGCTTAATCATAATACTAATGCAAATACTAATAATAAGGGAGTATAAATAGACCCTAAGTATAAAACGAAAACGGTATTATATTTGCCAAGAAATAAATTCTATTATCTATTAATGAAATCAAATTCAACCTTTTAACTCAACACTAAATTAAAATGTTCCTATTCCTACAAGCTAATTCGGTTTTTAAAATAAAATACGGTCTCAATATAAAACGTAAAAAGCGAAACAAGGTTTTTTTTTTACCTAACGGATTTATAAACACGAGAAAGAAAAGAAATTATCGGCGGTGAATTGATTTGAGATTGCGGCTAATATTCTAAACTGCTGACGGTCAAGAATTGTATCGAACTCAAAATTTTAATTGAATCTCGGGCCTGGTTCAACTGTCGGTTCCCTTTCCATATCAGAGACCCCACCAACGCCAGTCCCACCGCGCATCGATATCTCGATCAGCGTTCGCGCATCTGTAAATTAACTCAGGACCAACAGTTCAATCGCGTTTAATATTTATTAAAAATAAAAATAAACTGATTGAGGAAAAATTGACTTCATTATAGTGTCTTTAAATTTACTTGTAGTAAAACCATAAAGATAGAAAAGTCGTTACAATTAATGTCTAATAGAGCTAGGCGATATTTCATGAACTACTTTCTTTTAATCTTAGTACATTCTTTCCATGTTTTTCAATTAATTTCTTAATGTTTTTCAAAAATTTTATTAACAAATATATAATTTGTTAATGATTTAAGTAAACATAACCTTATTTATTTGAATTTTACTAATTACAGTAACGATTCAAAATGTTATTGAAAACTCACGCCATCGCCTAAACTCTACTTTTTCTCTAAAAAATGGAATCGTTAATAAATTAAGTTCTAATATTGTTTATTCTTTACAACAAACTAGTAAACAGTAATGAGCGCGTATCTACGTATGAGGTCTAATACTCCAATTAGGTGAATGCTAGATATGTTTGATAAGAAAATAAAAATAACATTCCGTCCCTGCTCTCTGAGGTGATTTTGTTCAGATGATTCCTGTAGAGTATTAAGCTTTATACCCCTCTTTTGATGTTGTTGATCTCCTAGGGATTGTAGTCATCACTTCTCTCCCTGTTTGAAGCTTTTCAGATCCTTAAAGGTATCTAGCTTTAATTAACAATAATGCGAGGCAAGAAAAATGTATCCTAATTTTTAAATTTTTTAACAAATTTAATGTTGATTATTTTTAATAATTGAATGAGGAATTGTATCCCGTATGTGAAAGTTATATTATACCGGGTAATAATTTAAAACCTGTATTCATATCATAAGTATGAAAAAAGAGTAGGGGAGACCGGGGTTAGTTGTTTAAAAATCCATTTTTAATATTTTCCCCATTAATGGGACAAATTTTATTCTAATGCATATTTATTTGCCAACATTTAGTGCATTAAAAAATATAAGTTTTAATTATTTAAACTACCACAAAGTTATAAATAATTTAGAGATATTTTTTAGCGAATTTTTGATTTAAAATATTTTCAACTGTTTTAAATCGTTTAAATTTTAACAATGCAACTATGACGTCACGTACGAAATATTTTAAACCAAGGCTAGAATTTTTGAACCAGTCGGATGCATCGAAATCCGATAACCGGGTGTTAATTAATTTAAATAATTCTTATATATTACATATATTAAATTTTTTATTTCGAATTAAAACAACAACCCAGCATCTCCCGACTCGTAGGCGCCGTTTAATTACTCCTGGGAAAAGAAATCGACGTGTGAACTGTAACGGCCGCTAGTAAAAAACCAGATGTAAAACGATAGGGCTATATTCAGGAATTAATACAGGGCTTTATAGTCTTTATGCACCAAATTCACAGTCGTTCTCTTTCCGATACATTTAAATATATGGGAAATTTAAGTATAAATACCAGGGTTTTTGTGGGCTGGGGGATTAGCTTTTTCTTCTTCACCGATTCAAGTTAACAAAAAACGCAAATATCCACTATACCGCCACGGTCTCTTTTTTCTTTATATTCTTCAAATATAATTAAAAAGAGATATCGCTACCCTTATGGTGGCCGCGCTTTTGTTATATTTTGAGAACGGAAATAAAAGATATCGACGGGGTAGAGAAATTAGTTTCTATAAACGACGGCTTCTGCATAGATATCCAGTTGTCCTTAGGATGACCACCTTTTTACTTATATTTTATATATAAGTAAAAGGAGATATACAGTCAGGTTGACTAAGCAGATACACGTTGAATAGAACCAGATTTCGCTCCTAGAACTATTTTGTAAGGTTGTATCTATCGAGCGACTAAAATATTGACGTAACTGATACTGGTGAGACCACGCTAGTATAGTTAAACGCCCGATATTTTATATCTCCGATTCAACATTATAAAGTGTTACTAAATAATTAAAAGTACTACTCTAGGCGACGTTCGTAGTGGATTTCGTCACCCTTAAGGCTGACCCGACGAACTTGCACCAGGAAGATGCTTTTATCAACGGTATACTTTTTTTCTGTAAGGTCTCTTTTACGTAGAATTAAAACGATAATCGCACTATTAAAGTAATCAAACTAATATTTTATATTTATAACTCCGGGGGAGAGTTTAGACTTACATTGATGGGTTACAAGTATCACTTTATTACTTTTATATTCATTAGCGGGAAAATTCGTGTCTGTGTGTTATTGTCACATTTTTGGTATTAATTGATAAACGTTTGTGGGAAAAATTATAGGATTTTTATATTGTGCTAAATTATACTTACTATGTGATATACCTGTAGGTTACTCTTGATTATGAAACAATGATGCAATTGAAATAAGGTTAAATAATTACTTAGGTATCAATTGTACGTAGTTTACTTCAGATTCTGCATTTGCCAGCAATAATTAAAAAGCAATTAAACGTTCTTTGGCAGTTGATGAATTTTGGAAAAGCCCAAAAAATGAATAGCAAATAATCGTTAGACAATCGCGTGCCTGTTGGAGCTACGGAATAAATATATGAAACATGTTTATTGACAAGAAAAATACCAAAAATAAAACTGTAAACAACGTTGTATACAACAATGTATTAAAAACACTCCAATTTTTAATTAAAATCACTATCAAACACTCATCTTTCTTCATCTGATTTAACAATCATTAAAAAAAATTCAGTTAATTTTTTAAATCGATTACGCTTTTCCTTAGTGGAACTTATTTCAACCGAGTTAAATAAAATCCAAAAAAAAAATATTTTATATTTGCGATCATTATAAATATACAATTAAAACATAATTCTATCAATATCATTTCTTTTCTGTGTCCATTTCTGTAATTTTTGTTAGCAATCTGAAGTTCTCGTTTTTCATCGCCGTCAGACTCTTTGCGTTTTGCTTAAAATTAAAAATTAACAATTAATACAGTTTAAAATATTCACGTAGATAAGTAGTGGCAGTGCGGGAAAGTACCACAATCCCCAGAAGAAGCATACCCAAGTAGCACCAAACGGTTTTATTAAGTACTTCAAGGATGCTTTAAAACTGTAAAATAAAACTGCATAAAACCAATTAGTTTTAAAAGGAGCCTTAAGGTTGTAATAAATACGCCTTCAGCTAAAAAAGGGCCCATTCTGAAAGAGGTCAATAAAACCAAAAATAAAAACCACCATAAAACTATATTAACTTGAACAAGTGACTTTAAAGCTGCTGTGAAGACATACAAATTTTTAATTGTCCTTATTAGCGAATCTAATTAGATACTTTAAAACCAGTATTAAATGCTAAACGGCTTTTAAGTGCCCGCAGTATATCTACAAGGTAACTTTAAAACCAGTATCTATTTATTTACCACATTAAAATCATTTTAAAACTAAAATAAACCCAAAATATTTTTATGGTGCTACTTGGAATAGACAAAAGTTATGAAAATTATTTTATCAATATATTTTAGTTTAAATTCAAAATGGCGGCTTTTTCCTAGCTGCAAGGAAAAACATCAAATAAAGGAAAACGCGTTTAATTTTATATAAATTGGAACTGTCGCAGCACCGGTTAAAATAGTGCAGAACAAAGGAGTGCTGACAAAATAGTGCCAGAACCCGCGCCTTGTTCTATCACAATTTGGTCCAGCGTTATTTTGTCCGGCTTAATTTTGACCAGCGCTATTTTAGGACAGTGCTATTTTATCGCGGCGGTGTTTTGACAGCGCTAATTTATCATATATCTTTTGAAACCCTGTTTTTTTATAACAATAGATAGGTGTGGTAAATTTTACTTACTTCCAATGATTCTTTGTATTGTTTATGTATTTCTTTATTAGTAGCAGTAGCAAAATTGACACGTTGCTGAGCTTGCTGCGCCGTCATACGTGACATGCCTGCCAAAGATGTAAGTTTTCGATTTTGTTCCACTTCTGATTGTAAATTTTTTCTCAATAAATTTGTTTCTTCCAGTAACGCGGCGTTTTCGTCTACCAATCTCACCTTGTCGTAACTTAGCGAGTTCGTATTCTTTGTAGCCTGTAAATAAACTATATAGTTGTAAAATGTAATCTAAACTCAAAATAATTAAGGTTTAGGTTATGTGAAGTGACAATATATGGATAAATGTTCTAATCTCTCATTACATACATACACGCACACGTATAAATATGTTTATATACAATGTCAACTATCAAATGTGAACGATCAGCTGTCAACTATTAACTCTCAACTTTCATATGTAAGCAATCTAATGTCAAATAATATTGATGGTTTAATATTCCTTAGACAGTTTGGAGGACTACATCAAAATACAAGGAACGCTTATTAAAAGTGCCTTACTTTTTAATTTTTCTGTGTAAATGAATTAAAAATATCTGTAAGTACAAAAAGTACCTGATAATGTAAGGTAGACACTGCTCGTTCTAAGAAATCTCTTTGGCGCAAGAATTCACTCTTTGCTTCCGTGTCTTCTTGTTGAGCAACTTCGAAATCTTTATCTGCATTATATTTATGATACATGTTCTGAAATATAGAGAAAATAAAATTCCAAAGTATTATAAATCCTAGGTTTTCCGACGGACATTAGTAAACAAAAATTATTTATATCAATCTTACTCTCTATCGTCTGGGAAAATGTTTAATTTAAAAAATGCCTAAGTTAATGTATATTAAAAAAAAATGGAAAATTAAATCTTCTGGTCCTCTTCCTTCTTCTATAACTCTTCTACATCAAGTTATCTACCTACAATGTTCCTTTCTGTTATTACAATTCCTTCCTTTTTTATCCCTTTAACTCTCCTACTCCTGTTTTTCTTTCCTATAATATTTTTAAATAAAACTTTCTTTACCTTTATTTACTCTTTCAACTTATCAAATTTATTTATTATTTTTAACATTTATTCAAATTTAAATGTCTAATGACAATTCGAAAAATATAATCTGACAATCTCTAATTCTGATGACAATTCTCCCCAAAATTCAATTCTCAATGTGTAATTCGCAACATAGGAAACATAACAACAATAACATAACATCAAAAACTGGAATAGCCAGCTTCAATCTTAACATGTTTCACCGTTGTTTTACTTACAATGCTGTTAACATTTACAATACTGTTCCATTGAAAATAAAGACGCATTATTTGAAATATCTTAAAAAACGCTTAAAATTTAGTTTATTAGCTAATCAATGAGGGCGCTGCATTGCATTATGATTACTACCTTTACTTTTATTTTTATTACCATTTCTTAAATTCATTTTTAATATTTTTTTTTATTAAGTTGCTATTGTTATATAAAAAATCAGTTCTGTAAATCAATTTTTAAGTTTTCTAAATATTATTTTGTTTGTAAACAAATTACTTACTGGTGGAGTAGCTTAGCTAGACTTCGTCTCTATATATTTTCATGTATTGTATATTACAATTTTTATTATTGGTTTTGTAAATTCGATAAATTCTTTTGGTGTTTGCTCTCAAAGAGATTACTTACCCTTACAACCTTTTGTAATAAGGGTATGTTCTGAATTAATCCACTAGCTTGATGTATGTCAATTCTAATATCCTGTAAAGATTTTTTCATTAATCTGTTTTTGTCCATTTCCTTTTTAACTTCATTATTCGAAGCATTTAGTTTTTCTCTAAGTTGTTCCAGTTGTAAATCCAAACCCAATATAATTTTTTGAAGATTTTCCAATTCTCGAACCATTTTATTAATTTGGGTTGTCTAAAATGTTTTAAATTTATTTAAGAGGATCAATTTAAAATCATAGGCGGTCTGCTAATGTTGATTTATTTACCTGTTCTGTGATTGTTCTCTCCTTAGGTTCAATTTCCGATTTCAATTCTTTTATTTTGAAATCTAGAATAAACTTAAATTTCTCCAATTCCTGATTTTTGTTCTTCAACGAGAATATTCTCTTTTCTTTCTCTTCTATCGTTTGATCTCTCTCTTGAATCTCTTTCTTCATATCGTTGATATCTTGTTCCAAACTCATAATGAATCCTTTGTATTTGGTTTGTTCATTCTCCATACTGAACACTTTTTGCTTATATTCTTCAACCTCCCTTTGAGCTACTACGTATTGTTTTTTCATGTTCGATATGTCGCTGATCAGTCTCATGTTGGTGTCTTGTTCTTCCTGAAAGTAATAGACGTGAGAAATAGCATAATTAACTTTACTTCACTAGTGTGTAATTAACGATTTTCTTACCTTTAGCTTCATTTGTTGAGTTTCCTTTAATTCAAATATTTCCCTGTCAGCGTCATCTTCAATTTGTTGTTTAATCATTTCGTGTTCTTTAGCTTGTTGCAGGTGATCGTTCATTAACTATAAATATTTTTTTTTACAATTAGAAGGTCTATGTATTTCTAAAATACTTACTTTATCATATTCAGCACCTTTTTCAGCTAGTTGATTTGAATAGTCTTCAATCAACGATATTTCGCCTGCTTCCTTTGCCTTTAATAGATCCTCGTATCTTTTCTGAGCATCTTTAATCATGGCATCCATTTTTTGTTCGTAAGCTAAAAATTTTTCATATTCTGACATGAGCTTTTCGTTATAGCTGGCTTCTAACTTTTCAATGAAATCAGTATGATCACGTTTCATTTTTGCAATTATGCTATTTATGTTGTTGATTTCTTGAATATGGTCCCCTTCCATTTGCTATAAATTATAGTAATATGTAAAGTGCCGTTCCTGTCTCAAGTTGGATAAACCGAACACAAACAGTTTTAGTATATAAAAGCGCAAATTGGAGCAATCCTGATGTCGAAACACTGTGGACGAAATTGATAAGGTAAATAGTCAAAGAAAGAGAAGGAGGAAGAGAGACGAGGAGATTAATATGAATGTGTTAACAGTACACGAAATTAAGAGGATAAATATTCAAAGGATAATTCATTAAATTGTTGAAGAAAAGTCTAGTTCGTGCATATACTTACCATTCTTTAGATTGATTAAACTTTTATAAATTATATATTAATAGAGTTTTCGTTTAATTTTTTTAATCAAAAACATGATAAACATGTTAATTTACTATTATATGAAAATGATATAGTTGGAATTAAGAAACTCAATACTCTATTAAGTGGACAAATTCATAAAAGACAGCATCTAACATATATATGTAACAAATGTTACGCCACATTCAATACTAAAGAAAAATGTGATGAGCATATATCCAAATTTGTATTCATCAAGAAATGCCTAAAGAAAAAAATAATCAACGAAATTATATATCTAGCGGTGCAGAACAGTTTCATCCCTACACAATAATTCTCGAGTGTACATTAGAGAAAATACATAAATTCAATAACAAATTCAACAAGATACGTTCACGAACATATTCCAAACAGTTTCTGCTTTTATACAGTTGATGGAACAAAAGTAATAAAGAAACAATAATGAAAGAATTTAACAATCAACTTATTTATTATGGAAAACGATATAATCAAATTAGAAAACAAAATAAGAATATGATTTGGGACGATGATGTATTCATAGAATATATGAATGCAAAAAAGTGTCACATTTGTAATAAAGTTTTCGAAAATGATGATGAAAAAGTCAGAGATCATGATCACGTTACAGGGAAATATAGAGGAGCAGCTTCTAACAGTTGTAATTTAAATTTACCATTACCAAAATTTATACCAATTGAAATTCACAACCTTAGATATTTTTAAGATATAATCTTGAATTAAGTAAAAACTATTCAACTCCAAAGAAAACAACATCACGTTGTGTTCGATTTGAGATTTAACTTGAAACAGGAGCGGCACTTTACATACTACTAATTATTAAAAACGTATTTTCTATACTGACATTTAACTGAAACCTACCTCATTTTTTAATTTTAAATCTTCAATGGCACTACAATAGCTTTCATGAATATCTTTCAGCTTAGATGCTGCCAACGCGTCATTCTGTTTCATTTGATAGGAATGTTCGTTTTCTAATTCGTTCATTCTGAGCGTTAGATTTTTAATTTGTTCCATTTTCTCGTCTAAAATTTGTTTGGATATGAGAATTTCGTTATACGATATGAATTCGAATTTAGAAATAGCTTTGTCTTCTGCATTTACGAGCTTCCAGAAGAAAATGCAACCGTCTTCGGAACCGCTGATAAGGTGCTTGTCATCAAAAGATAAAACTGCCTAAAACCAATCGATCAGAAGATATAGCAGTTTTGGTAAGAGTTTAACAAGTTTTTGGAGAAAAGTTTTAGAAAAAGAAAATTGGCAAAAAAGTTTTACTAAAAATTTTAATCATTGTATTAAACCAATCAGTTAGTATATATAATAGTTTTGGGATAAAAGCTTTGGAAAACATTTAATAGTTACCTTAAGGACAGATGATCTATGCAAAGTAACTTCTGAATACTCTGCTTTCTCAAGAAGGGGTAACTGTATTATGAAAATAGTACCATTGTTTGCTAAAAATTGAAAACCATAATATATACAAACGTAAAAATATTGTCAAATAGTTAATGTACATTTATGTAAATTAATGTCAAAACTATACCTGTGATAAACATCATATTATCTAAAGCCGATAAAATGAGTACATCAATATGAGTTGATACAGGCATACAGACATCTCGTTGAACAACTGCATTCATGATCTCCCGAATGTGTCCATCTTTTCCGACGGAATAAAACCCTTTTCCATCATTTAAAATTCGTATTCCTGTTGCTGGATTTGTTTTTACGACAGTTTCGCTAACTCTAGCACTTTTGACGACTTCCCAAAGGTACAGTGCACCCTCGACACCGCAACTTGCTAAAGTACTGTCGTTAGCGCACCAATCTAGACCAGTTATCTAAAATATCAAATATTTTTGATAAGCTGTGTTTGCAACTATGGTTGGCGCCCAACGTGGGGCTGCCTTATATAATAGTGCTTACAAACGTGTGAAGAAATTTAGAGTATGTGCTATTAAAGAAAAGTGCAGCTGAGAATGTATCGTCAAAGTCAGTGCCATATTGTAAATGTGATAAATCAGTAGCGTAACGATTTTATATATTTGCAGGGTAACACAAAGTTAGTTTGTAAAATGGTTTTTTATTTAATAAAGTATATTTATCATCGATAAATGAAAGTATAATGTAAATATCTTACGTGACTGTTGTGTCCTTTAAGACTGTACATTAGTTCGAATGTTACTGTGGAAAACACTTGAATTACATTCGCATTTGTCGCTGCAAACAAATGTCCCAATCGACTAAATCGGCATTTCCTAAAAAACAATGATCGAATAAAATATTTTTTTAATCGAAATAAAATAGCACTTGAAAATACTTACGCGCACGCTCTGACGTTAAACTCTTTTGTTATTATGATTTCATCGATCATCAATGTCATAAAACGAAGTTTGTCTGAGAAACCCATAATTGCATATAGTCCTGTCGGATGAAGATCTACCGAATAAATATCATCTTCAAATACTTGTATGAGTTCTATGGTTACAGTTTCGTAGTTCCAGACTTTTACAGTTCGGTCCAAAGCTCCTAAAAAATAGTAACGTTTTCTTGCTGCTACTGTTTATGCTGGTGAAACCCAGGAGAATGTGGCTAGAGACCAAATAAACTAATAGTTCGTTTACTGCAAATTTAGACTACCTTTACATTAGAGGTATTTCTATAATAGAAGGATCTTAATACAATAAACTCGAAGTACTTTTTGAAATGTTGATAAAATGTAAGTGCCATGAAAACGGTTTTCTGAGTATAAAAGCTCTTGAAATTGTATCAAATTACATTAAGGTGAATTTTACTCCACTACAAATTCTATTAAAGATTGAGAGAGATAATTTTATTCCTTGCTGACGAATCCTAATCATCTGTAAATTTTATTACTCTATGTAGTAGGAAAACAAATTGTGTGTGATTACTCATTGTAATGTAAAGAACATTAGCTGTCAAGAGTGGGGGTGCGGGAAGTAATGGCGGTAGTAGCGAACCGTCGACTGTACTCTCCCGGGCAGAACGAAATGATGGGTCGCCTTGAAAGCTATAGTGAGGTCAGGCTGTTAGTTGATGCTTACGCATTGTTCTATTTGACTTAATTATTGAAAATTGTTATTATCTATATATCGGGACGCACTGAGATTTCAGTATGGCCAGGTATAGGCAATCTATTTTTAATGGGAGATCATCACACTCTCTAAGGGCACACTGTGTTGTCTTTTCGATAGCTGTGACAGGGTCGGCCCGGCAGTAGTCAATGTTATTAGAGCATGTATTCTTGGTTGCATATATGAGGACCGGTTGACCTTCTTGATGTCTAATTAGACGGCTTTCTACAGAAAGGAAGCAACCCCACAAATTTGTGATTTTTAGATTTTCGCATATTGTTTTAAGAATCATAAGATCCAGGCCACATTCTGTTCCTAGCGTTATTTTTTAGCCAATGAATCAACCGACTAAATTGGTTAAGCAAGCAAAAACCTCCTTCTTTTTAACCGACTTCAAAAAAGGAAGAGGTTCTCAATTCGTTGGATTATTTTTTTATGTATGTTCAGCGATAATTCTTTGCTATGTTGTTCTTTTTTTCTTAGGGGTGGTCCCATATAAATTTAGTCGTTCATTTCCATTAAGACATAAAACAGGGGTATTTAAGATGTGGTTTGGTGTTTGGGTATCGAGTTAATTCCCAGGCTAGTCACGTTGGCACTAGAAACTTACTTCTATCTCTTTAATAAGTGAGATACACTACTATTTTGGTATGTATCGTGGTATAGAACTGAGGATCTTGTTACCTATAGACAGTGCAATTGGTTTCCAGCGGCATACAGCGATATCAGCGATAGGACCCAAATGTTGTTCGTATCCAAAAGGTTTCATGTCAATAGCGCGACCAGTATACGCATCGTGAGCAAATATTCTTTCAGTCCACAACTGCATTTCGTTACAACTCACAAGTATCCTAAAACAATGCCGCATTGACAGACAAAGATCAACTTTACGGTCTTGGTACACAAATAACTATTATAACCTGTCTCCAAATGGATTTATGGCAATTGAATTCACTGTAGTTATCGTTTCTGGTTCTTCTTCGTTATCTCTTTCAATGCTTCGATCTGGTATAAGAAAGAATCCACGTCTGGTATATCTGTTAAGAGAAAAGTGTATTTTAATATTATTTTATCCAATATTAATAAAACTAAAGTGAACCGGACAACCGGGAATTTATCACCAAGGAGCTAGAAGCCCATCAATGAGATTAGCGAAAAGAACAATTGCGTCACAATAATATACCATCTATGAAGTTTATCTTAATGGTTTTTTCACCTAACCACAAGTATATAGTTGTGTTTTAATCCTTCCTAATACCTTAATATAGTGTGTAAAGATATAGACAATAAAAATATTACCTATGTTGGGTTTCATTTTCATATACGTGGATTTTTCCATTGTTATATCCAAATGCAAATCCTCTTGGAAAAACTGTGATCGACTTTATTTCATAATTCTCTTTGGATGGTGCTATGTCAAATCCAAAGTTGTCGTAATATGCTGGATCTGTTATCAGCCCACCATCTTCCCTAAGAAATGTATATTAAATTAAAATAAAAGTACAACTATAAAGTATTTACTTTGCCTGAACGGCAAATAAAATCAAATAGAATAGATAATTTTCTTAAATCGTGAAAGGTATACACTACATTTATACAAATAGTACATTCGTAACAAAAAATGAACACGTTCCAAGAACGATTTATCAATTTTTATTATTGCTTTACTTACCCGTTGGTTTTTTTACTTTTCCTGAGAATAGCAGCGTGTGCAAATATAATTAATAAATAATGGAAATACTTTTTAAAATAGAAAACTGTGTAATAACGCATGTTACAAAAGTTTTGAAAAAGAAGTAGTATACAATCCTTTAGCCTTCAATGCAACCAATCTTCTTTTTCTTTACTTGTATCGGTTATACGCAGGAAGGGTAAGATACAGCCCAGAATGCTGCTACCTCTTGGGCCTGTCGTATTCTTCTGCTATCTCCGTATTCAGGTACCATGTTTGAATAGTGCTGTGTCTTTGATTAGTTTTATTAGGCTAGATGCTAGCTCAATAAGATAAACTGCTATGATGTTTTCTTTTTCAGGCAGAGTTTACATGCGGTGAAATCATTGGTAATCTCACAATGATAGATATCTAGGACCATGTGAGCTATATTATCTCATAATCCAGGCATGAGTTTGGTCCTTTTAGCATAAGCTTACTGATTCTGTGTCATCTAATCTGTTGTTGGTGAGTTTGGTGTTTAGTAGTTATCTACCTGTTCACTGCTAGAGCAGAGGTTCCGCTTGTCCCAAACATAAGTTCGTGTCCTGTAACAGCCTCTTCATTCCCTTGGATATCTTTATGTCTAGGTACCCATGCCAGTTTACCTTATTTTGGATTGCTAGATCACTGAGTGTTCCAAGATAGTTCCTGACCAGCTATGACCTGATTCTGTTTGAACAAAGGGCCTTTAAGGGTGCTTGATTTTCTGAGAGAATTGATATGGTTTATTGTTTGTACTTACTACTTAGGTTTTCCATTACGAACAATTTAATTGGATGTATTTCAGCATGAAATACACTGTTCTCAATGAGACAGTAATCTGGTATTAATTTATAAAAAATACTTACTCACTAGCCATCTTCATGTTGATGAGAGGTAAATCAGAAGCATGAAAAACTGCCCTAACTTCCCCGGTTTCCAGGATCATAATTTTTCCTTTGTTGCTACCTACTATAAGCCTGTCCTGACTTAACCAAGCGCAACTAGTATAGTGTGCAGGATCCAGTTTGTTATATCCAAATTGTCTCCATATAAAATCTACGCAGCCCATGCAACGCAGAACCTGATCTCCACATAGTGCTACTTGGTTGGTGTCGTTTGGATTACAAGAAACCTTTGAACAAGTTAAAAATTACTACTAAAAGATCTTATCGAATAAACAAAATAAAAATAATTACAATTGGAGCGGTAGCTTGGAACAGTAGCCACGAAACATTGTTGTGACTAATAATTTACCACTTATAGCGTATTATTTATGTGGCACCTATATTATTTGTATGTATGTGTATCCAAAATTGAGTGTCGAGTCTCTATATTGGCACCTTGCTTAATATATGAGATAAAATGTCTGTTAAATGGTGAATGTTTTAGATTAAATGATGCTGATATAATATACTTCAATTATTATAATAGAGTACAAATCAAACTCAAAATCCCAGAGATATCCACAGAATATCTTTTATAGATATTCAATATATCCACAGGATATCAGAAATATTCCGTGGATCTAATATGGATATCCAAATGTCCGTCTATATCCTAATGGATATCCAGCAAAATATCTAATGGGTATCTTCCAGAAAATACAAGAAATCCCAGAGATATCCACAGAATATATTTTGTGGATATTCAATATATCCAATATGGATATCCAACCAAATGTTCGTCTATATCCCAGGATATAGAAGATATTCGGATATTCAGCAACATATTTTATCTTTAGTAGAGGTTCATAAGTAACCAATTATTATTGAATAACGTCGAAAGAAAATAGCAGAGGTAAAAAATATTTTCAACACTCAAAATATTTTCAACACTCTGCCTTTGATTTTGCCCACTAAGGAGAAAGTCATCCTTATTAGGACTCTTCAGCAATAAATGGAAATTATTGTGCGTAAAAGTGCATCTTCTAGCACTTGTTGCAATAACTACTATTTTAATTCCATAACGGCTCCTTTTTGTTCACCAAGCATTTAAATTAATTTTTTTTAATAAAATTAAATAAGATTTGAGCCAAAATTTTACCACTAACTGTTGGTTCTAATGTGTCCATCATCCAAAATTTAATTCCATCACTTTTTTTCAGCAAAATATATTCGTAGTTTAGAAAATTTACCAGTGTGATTTTACAACCCCCTTTAGTCAGCAAGGTGTCCGCGAACGTGTTATTTGTTGATTTTCTTGTTGCACAAACTACTATTATTGAAAACATATTTGAAATCTGCATTAAATTCTCTAAAACATTTACCATTTAACCTACCTTCTATCTCTTGTATAAAGTCTCGAATTTCGGACACAGTGTATAACATATATACCTCTTCAATTGTTCCTGTACCATTGAGGTTAATTGCTCTTGCGGAACTCTCCAACCTTCCTTTCTCACATTTGATATTGTACAGAGTCCAATCTGGCTCGCCTGTGATCGCAACAATATATTTCGAATCGTAAGAAAATTGAAAATGTGCGAACTCGGTAGCCTGGCATTGTTTGTCCGCTGGTATAGTTAAAGTTTTCCTTTTTCTGAATATCACGGGATCCCAGAGAGTGATGACAGGACCTTTTTCCGATTTTTCAGAAATGGCGATCATTTTCCTGTTGATTACGATAAGTTAATATTGTTTGTGTGTTTAAGATTATTCTTTTAACTAACTTAAAATTTTTTGAAAAAATTCTACAATTAATGCATAATTAATACAACGTTCATAAAATAATTGTAAGTCCTCATTTGTCGAAAAGTTTTGGAATCAAATAATAATCCTATATGGTGCTAAATCTGCAGGAATGTTAATCAATCTTATTTAAATCAACGACACCTTTGGCAAATTTTCTAAGACGACTTTTTACAATTTTTTCGAGTAATATAATTACCAGCTCAGTATAATATGATCTCGTAATAGTTTTATTATTTTTGAAATAATCCATCAAATTTATCCCATCTTTATCGCAGAAAACTGAAGCCAAAACCTTGCCAGTCGATTTTTTAACAAGGAATTTTTTTAACCACTCTTTGGATTGCTCTTTAGTTTTTGGATCATAGTAATGGACCCAAGTTTCGTCCAAAGTAATAAACAGATTAAAAAAATGTTAGCAATTGTCTACAAACCGACAGCAGATTTCCTTTGACTTTGTTAACCAATATCCTGAATAAAACCCGAAATACCCGCTTATGCCAGTTTTCATCAATAAGTTGCCATAGGACGGATTAGAACTTTTGATATGTTATTCAGTACACTAAATATCAATTATTTTTGTAGGGTCAAACCATTAAATGTCTGGGCTTCCAGGTATAATGAACAAATGGAAATTAAGAACGAAGTAAATGTTCTTTTACTCCCCCTGTAGGTTTTTGTTTGTTAAGCTTGAAAACAAAGCTCACTTTTTTGGGGATACGTATGGTTTCTTTTATTAAAAAATATTTAACAATGCATTAACATTAATATAAAAATATTCCGAGCAGTAGGTATCATAGTATTATCCTAACTAACTATTAAATTCGTTACACTATTATAAAATATTAATATTTTACTTACTTGTTAGGGCTTACATTTATTTGAGTCAAGTTTTTACCCCTTTCTGCCAATTTTATGTACCTCTGCTTCTTATCAGCGTAATTATGGATAGTAACCACCGTTCCAACTGGGTAAATTACTTCATCATTGGTCAAAAAATGTATATTCCCACGTATCCCTTTTTCTAAACCCAACAAAACATATGGTTGGAGGACTGGATATTCCATTTTTAAATTCAAGTATTATTTATTAAGTTTCAGTGATTTTTGACAACGTCTGTCCTTCAGACAGAATTGTTTGATCAATATTTGGTATTTCATTTATGAACGTGACATGCTTACAGGTACACTGTTTAAAATTCGAACATTCACACTCAATATTTCTAGTGCTTTAGATTTATTCTTGCATTAAAATAATAGAAAAATTTGAAATTCTAAGAAAACGGAAAACATTTAATCATGTATTATGTTAATAATCTAACTGTAAATAATAAATTACGACATTTAGGGTGAACAACACCGGAAGAGCGTCTTGAATTGAATGAATCACATATGATTTATTTCGTAAATTTGATCAAATGAGTAATAATGAATGCACCACTTTTGAATTGAGGTAGCTGGCCTTAAGTCAGTGCATTGGACTTCAATTAATATTGTTTGTCTAAAAATAAAATCGCTTCAGTTTTTGAAGTGTGAAGTACCTTGGAATCAAGTCCTACAAGATTAATAATTTAATGGTTTATAATTAATGTCTGATTTACTGTGTAACCTGCCCAGATAGTAACACTGACGATTATAAATATTTTATTGTTAAATAAGGAATTGTTTTTTACTTGTTGTACACAACATTTATATCTTTAGGTTTTTCAAACAATGTCTTCATTTCTTTTTTAGTTTTACACCCTTCGGACCCCCTATGCTATTATCCTAATCCGTCTGTAGCAGTACTGCAGCCTGTCGCTTTTTGTACCACCATTTGAAGGTCTTACTACTTTCCCATTCACCAATTCACTCCCTCATGCACCGTCATTCATTCATAATTAAACGCTAGTCGGCTAAATCCACATACTTTGATTACTATACGAGGCAAGAGAGAGGTCCGACACGCCCAACATAGGGCGCGGCCATTTTGAACCCTGTGACACAGTTTACAGCTAAAGAATCAGATCGCTCACTCTGCGTCGGCACTTTTGATCTCAATGTTTCAGTTTATACATTGTGCAACTCGGATAATACAATATATGACAACCGCCTATAATAAAACAGCAGTCTTCTGCGTATCCTGAATTTGTATCCCTGGAGTGGAAGTTATTTTGGAACTTTCAACTGGTCCGAGTGAGCTAACTGATTCTTTAGCAATAAACTGTGACTTCAAAAATAATATTCACTGACACTGACAGCAGCAAGCAAAATATCAGGTGCGTTTTAATCATCCGCTTCTGCTTCCGGAATTGTCGGTTTAGTCGTTTTAACCTGTCAGATTAAAACAAGAAAACCGACAATTCCGAAGCAGAAGCGGATGATTAAAACGCACCTATTAAAAATATTGCGCCTAGATGTAGGCAACACGTAATAAGGGTTCAAAATGGCGGAGTTTTCTATCTCCTTTTAAAAGGCACTCAGAAAGCTGCCCAGTGCGACCATTCTCCGTATAGTAAAAGCAAATCAAAGTATGTGGCTAAATCTCATAGTGACACGGTCCATAGTAAAACGTCCCATTGGTGAGTCATCCACGATGTGACCAGAAAGAACACGGCTTAACTGTTGCGAGAATGTGGATGCACCTTTGATGCACCTAATCTTGCGGCTAGCTCATCCGGCCAAAAAAAGTTATATTCCACTTACTTTTCCACAATACACTTGTAATTATCATTATTTTTTCCAGGATTTCCACAGTTGACACAGCAGTTGACATTTATCTATCTTAAGATCTATTCGCCTATCCTCAATGGTTGCAAATTTGTCTATAAGATCGTCGTAAAATTTTGGATTTTCTGACAACTGTTTAACAAGCTGTTGTTCAATGGATATTAGGGCTAAATTAGAGTCTGTCTTCACTATTGTAAAATATCTATTTTTAAATCTCAAAGTGTAGGGAAGCGGTGCTTCCCCGCTTCCATGGACCGCACGCCCCTGCAAATAATCTTTCATCCAAACAGTCGGTAAAACTCTTCGAACATACATTCTCGAAGGTAAAACTTTACCATATTGGAGTTTTTCAATTTCAGAAGGGTCAATTCTTCTACAACTAATAGATTAAGATCACTGATCTGTATTAGATCAGTGATTAAGATACATGAGTTTAATTTTCAATCGAATTTTTCTATAAGTAGTGTGTGTTACAAAACTAGATTCACTTAGTCCCAAGGTGTAGATTATTACCAGTTACCCTAATTTCAAATTTGAGAATGCTCTTTTAATTTAATTGGTTTATTGAACACTACGACGTGATAACTACTTTTCTTCATGGTAAACTGAAGGAACAAGTACTCGTGGAACAGCCAAAATCATTTATAGGAAAAAGTTAAAAATTTAAGGTTTGTTTGTTGACAAGAATTACTACGTTTAACCCCAATAGGTTATAGGCCCAGTACTATTTTAGGACCAAAAACAGATTACAGATAAATAGCTACCCAGCTAGCACACCGACGTCATTGAGATATCATTTTTTAGTAATAATTAGTCTCGGTCGCCACATCACCTAAAAATGACGTCTTAGAGACAAAAATGTAACGTCAATACCACAGAAAATTATGTCTGCATAATGCTCTAACAATGGATGTGAAAATTGAGTTATAATTCATTAATCATTAGACATGAACGCAATAGTTTAAATGCAACTAGATAGGACCCAAATGAAAACTCAGAATCAGGGGCGGCTCGTAACCAAAATTTTTTCACAGTAGCAGAATATAGATCCCGGTACAGAGATAGGTGAAAAACTGTCAGTGTTTTAGAAAGGTATATTATAAACTTTCCAAAACACTGAAAGTTTTTTCATACATCTGTACTGATACCTATATTCTGTCACTTCAGGAACAGCACTGTTAATTAGAACCCAACGAAGGTGCGTATGGCCCATATTACTTTCTCTGTTGTGACTACCCTTTATACTTGGAACTTAAATAACTATTAAATCTTCTTTACAGATCGTTTTTTTATGATCTTACTAAAAATATTGATTATAAAATAAAACAAGATCCTGAAAACTTACACTACAATATTCTACAGGATATAATAAAAATGATTTTGGTTATTTTATTGTAAAAACAGTCAGTTCATTACAATATTATATAAAATTACAAATAAGCTTAAAAGGTCAGTCTAATATAGATACATAATATATTGCACAGTCTTTATGAACTTTACGTTTACGGTAGTAACCTGTGATAATGTGCCTTCTTGCTCTTCTCGATTACATAGAAAGAATGTGGTTTTCCATTACCAGGAAAGTATTTAGTGAATCCTGATTTTTTAGGCTTAGCTGGTACGTAGTATGAAGGTTTATGAGGTTTCTTCTCTTTTATAGGTTTATCGATGACCTCGTTCCAGCTTTCCGGTTGCCTGAAATCCATAGGGTAGTCTTCGGATTTGGCTTTATGGCTAGATGCTATTTTTTTCATTAACGGCAGATTCCAGTGGTAGATTTTGGCGGGTTTTCCATTATTCTTAAAACCAACTGGTACATTCCTACTTTTACTGTTTAAATCATCAATGGAGTTAGGTTTATTGTGCACATAATAATGTGGGTGAGGCGGCAACTTAACTATGAACATATGGGAGTCATCTGATCGACTATGGTGTCTAGATTCTACAGCTAGCCTCTTCCTATGATGGCTGTTCGGTCCTCTGATTCTTTGTAGACCTAACTTCGTAAGGAGTTCGTGATTTTTAGAAGTTGTCGGTTGTTTACTGACTGAAAGATTGATGCATAGGATGGCCAGGATGACGGTAGATAGTATTATATTCCTGCAGCAAAAAAAAGTTTCAATATAAATGCTACACAAAAATAAACAGTTATTTTACGTTTATTATAAGACTGTAAGTAATTTTTTACAGTAATTTTCTTAAATATGTCTATTAATATACAAGTACGGAAATTTAAAGGTGGATCGTTTATTTTACAAAGAATTGGACCATGCGCATAACAAACCAAGACTGCCGATCAGCAAGGAGTGCCCGGTGTATTATACGTACAACTCTCACCACACTCCCACTTAGGCTAGTCTCTAATAGACTTGGTTTGGATGGTCAGCTTTCAAATTTCCATATCTGTATAAGTGTTTGGTAGAACCAAAAATTAATATAAATTCATCAAATTGTGACATGGAAAATACATCTTTAGATATCACAGAAAAGGCTATTATTACTATAATATAATTAATTAAAAGTTATTAAAATCATGTGATAAATATCTAATATAAATTCCTTTGTGAAGTTCCTTACACACAATATGTGTCTTCTGCACAAATCTTCATTTGACATACTCAAAAGAATTCTTTTGAATAACAACACTGGACAAAGACGTATTGATAAAATGAGCTCTAAAGTTGAAAGTTTCTTGTGTGATTATCTACGAACAACTCATTTTTCTATTCAACTGCACGAGTCAACTTTACCTGGCAATGAAGCATTATTATTGGCATATGTTCGATTTGTTATAAGCGAAGAAATTCATGAAGAGCTACTATTCGCGAAAACTTTGAAGACGTATACTAAAGGTGAATCAATATTTAATGTTTTGAAAGATTTTTTTTTAAGAAAAATCGATTCCATTCACAAACGTTATTTCGGTGGCAACAGATGTAGCACCTGCCATGGTCGGGCGATATCGTGGGTTTATAAGCCATCTTAAAAGAATTATACCAAAGGTAATTGCGATTCACTGTGTTATCCACCGACAACATTTAATAGCGAAAAATTTGATTGATAGATTGCACCAATCGCTTCAATTTGTGATTAATGCAGTTAACAAAATAAGAAGCAATGCATTGAATACGCGTTAAAATAAAAAAAAATTGACAGATCATTCCATAGACCTGTGACGACATCATGTTCCCCACATAACCTTACCTTTTTTAGTTTTGACATATTTGTCATTTCATTTTAAAATTTTGAAGTCGTTTGTATTTGAGGTTGGTCAAACGTCGATGTCGTAACTGATGTCATGGTCAGAGGTCATAACGTTGTTAAGCCTTAGGTAGATATATCGGCTCGACGTCTTTTGAGGTGTGCCCTGATTGGTCGAGCCTTGACGACCGTGGTCATGGAGTTTTTATGGAACGCCATCTGGTGATTATTAAAATATTACCCGATATTATATAAAAGAATTTTTAAAATCTGCGTGTGTTTCTCAAATATGCATTTATTATTTTGTATTCCGTTTCATGTACCTACCTATGTCTATAAACCTTTTAAAGCATATACACACCTCTTGTATGACTATAGTAGTATTTTATGAGTTGTAAAGAACGCAAAATTTAATTAATAACTTATAATTTTAAAGAGCATAAATGTCCATGTAAACTTGCTAGGTAAAACTGTTAAAACCAAATTCCGATGTATGTATTTGCTTTTAACAATTAACGTGGGATAGGCACAACTGTATTTTTCATGGTTATGGTCACACACAAACTTATGCATATGATTTGCTTATTTTACGAGTTGTCAGTCATTGTCCCTAGTGTAAACGAAGTAAAGGAATTTACGCGGGAAAGTATTTATTCTTTTGTGTTTGTACTAAGTGGTTTGTCAAAATTAAACGTATAGTGATTCCATTTACAACCAATTTCATAGGATAATAAAGATAAAATAACATAAGGTACAAAAAAAAATTAAAATACAATAATGTTTTTCATGAGTTTATTTCTTAAAAACAAATAAGATGAATTATTACCTGAAATATCGAGGAAAAATTATGAGATTGCATACAACAAATTTATGTCGTGGAAACAAAATGTATCCTCTTTTTCCGAAGACACTGTGCTTGTATATTTTATGAAAATTTCTAGTAAATACAAATCGTCTACTTTATGCACAAACTATTCCATGCTAAAAAGCATGTTAAACATCAAGCACAATGTCGACATTGATAAATATCCGAGATTACGTGCTTTGTTGAAAAGACGATCCGAAAATTACGAACCTAAGAAATCTGAAGCTCTGACTGGTGAACAAATTGAGAGGTTTATAAAGGAAGCCCCAGATTTTAAATATCTTGAAACAAATGTAAAAACTCGATTCGAAAATCAAAATTATTTAACTTAATCTACAAATTTTTTTAAGGTTGCCTTGATTATGGGGGGGTCATGGGTGCTTGCCGATCCTGTGAATTAAAGAATATGAAAATTGGGGATTTAAGATGTTTTGAGGGATGTTTTCAAGTAAACGTGCCGAACACAAAAACCAAAGTCCCAAGGAATTTCACAATTGTAGATAATTTTTTCAAAATCGTTAAAAAATATATAGACTTCCGGCCCGAAAATGCACCACAAGATTTTTTCTCAATTTACAAAAAGGAAAGTGTACAAAACAAGTGATAGGAATAAACAAGTTTAGTGCAATGGGAAAGCAAATTGCTACGTTTTTACAATTACCAAACCCTGAGAGATACTGGCCATTGCCTCAGGCATTCATCTGCAACATTGGTTGCTGATTCTGGAGCTTCAATGACAACATTAATACGTCATGGAGGCTGAAAATCCGCCTCCACAGCAGAAGGGTATATCGCCAATTCAAAAAAGAACAAAATAGAAACAGCTCAAGCAATTTTAAGTCAAATCAATAATGAAAATTGTGTTGGTCTTAATAATCCATCATCTTCTGACAGTGATCGTCATGATTCTGTACTCATCAATAGCAACACTAATTTTTCTTTAAAAAACAATAATCTCAATGATATTACCGGAGCTATTAATATTTCAAATTGTAATGTTGCTATTAATTACATCAATAAATAACTTTAAACGAGTTCCTGTATATATTGGCGTTTTATTTCACACGGTGGCTTAAATACTCCTCATTTGAAAGGTCTTTTAATTGTGAACAATCTTGTCAATTCTATTTATAACAACTTCAAAGAATTTTTTCTAAAAATCCCCTTTTCGTTTTCGGTGAGCCCCCGTATTTAGTTGTAGAAAAAGTATAGTATTCAATTCGTGTATAATGGACCATATTACACTCGAATATTTACAACACTCGTGTAATATGGTCAACATTATACACTTATTGAATAATATACTATTTTCTTTCTTCTATCACTAATTTCGCACCAAATAAGGATATATTTTCTCATTATTATAGTATTGCTCCAATTTTCTAATCCCTAGTTAATTCTGTCTTATGTATTTAAATTTTAATAAGTAGGTATTAAGTTACCGAGTTTGAGTGTGAAAAGCCGCTTTTATAAATATTTTACTGAAAGCTGGACTCTACCGTTTGGCTAATTTTTAACAATTCATATTTTTGTTTATTTTGTAATTTTCATATCAATAAAATCATATTTATTTATTTGCCCATATTTCGCTGGGCTATCTTTCTATTAGTACCTCATCACAACACCTCTCTTGGAACCCTATTCCTTTTTATCTATCTTTATTTCTGTATAACTTTTCATGAGATCTAAGGGAGAAAAAATATTGGTTTGCAAATTTTCCATATGTGTAAAGGTAGTAATTTTCAGATGTATAAAATATGTATTGTGACTAATATTACAGTTACGTTAAACTTTATCTAAATGTGAACTTAAATGTTTCGCTTATTCCAAAGGTAATATTTCGTTTATCTTATGCAACAAGTTGACACCAATAATGTATGCGTTTCAATGTACATATATCCAATTTGCGGCGCATTCAATTTTAATGTATTTTACCTTTAAACATATAATAAATCACTCTGATATACCATTAAAATATTCAGAAACCGCTAGGTATCGGGAGTGCCATGTAAATATTGACCGGATATATAGATTCATCTAAATGTAAGTGTATATACCTATATACGGGGTGTGTCACGTAAAACTCCCGGAACGCAATTTCCAAAACTGGATAAAGTTATTTTCACAAAGTGACTCTTTCCCGCACGAGACTAACGCTGCCCCAACGAAGCAAATCGAAATTCGGGCAAGCAGTCGAGTAAGGGAAAGACACTTTGCGCATGTTTTATATAGTTTTTTTAAAACGCAAAGGTAACTTGTTAAAAAAATGCAGATGACTTTCTTTTTCGCGCTATAAGATAAATAATATGATAAAAGTAAATGTAATAAATCACGTTTCTGTACTAGTACTGAAATAGGTGTGGAAAGATGACTTTTTTGCTTGCTCGTAGAAAAACATATTTACAATAGCATTTTGAATAATCTTTTACGTCATATTTCTTGTTTTTTGTTGTAAACCTTTTCCAATTGTAGTTTAAAATGTGGAAATTGTATTTACAAATAGTCATTTGAATATTAAAAAAATATCAGTTGAATTTACAAATTAGTACTTGAATAAATGCAATGATAAGCGTAATAATTAACATCTTTTATTTTTGTGTTAAAAAGTTTTTTCAAATAAATTTATGAAAAAGTAATAGCAAATTTATCATAATTAAAAAAAACGTTTATGACATTTCTGGAACGTTCCAGTAATAGTATAAAAAATGTACCTAAAACGTTTGAGCAACATCACAGGATGTTCCATAAACGTCTTTGTGAAACATCTCTAATATGTTACAAATGCTGACTTGGTCATTGCCAAAAAACATTCCAGGTACGTTTGAGGGAGAACGAGAAACATGACGTGTTTCTAATGTCACAATTGCATGTTTCTGGAATGTTGGTGTAATAATACTGTGCTATTAGGGAACAAAGACTTTTCATGAACGTAATCCATCTTTTTGTTTCTGATAGTATGTATTTGATTACTACTTCGAATACCTAAACTATCAGAAATAAAAAGATGAGTTCGGTTTATTAATATTTTAAAGTG